TGTCGTCTGGTTGGTAAGTCAGCTTTTATTACTTCAGTGTAACCCATCTATATCAGTCTTTAATGTCTACACCACACCAAACCCGCAGTTATAACGTCTACACCTACCCCAACCCTACACCTACCCCCAGTTATTAACGTCTACACTTTAAACCCAACCATCACAGTTATGAACATCTACACCTACCCCAACCCTACACCCAACCATCACAGACATCAGTGTCTACGCCTACCCCAACCTTTAACCCAACCCTCAGTTACCCTAAACCCAACCATCACACTTATTAATGTCTACACCTACCCCAACCCTAAACCCAACCCTCAGTTATTAACGTCTACACCTACGCCAACCCTAAACCCAACCATCACACTTATTAACTTCTATTCATACTTACAAATAAAGGTACAAGAGCTGTCACTGAGGTGGTACCATTTAAAAAGTTTCAAATTTGTACCTATAAGGTCCATATTAATACCTCAAGGGGTATTTAAACCGAAAAAGTACAAAAGTGTTCCTCTTAAAATTTTCTGGTATATATACTTTTGAGGTACCAATATGGACCCTTCAAGTACAATTGTGTACCTTTTGAAAAGGTGCCACCCCTGTGACAGCTCTCGTACCTTTATTTCTGAGAGTGTACCTACACCAACCATAAACCCAACCATCAGTTATTAACGTCTACACCTACCCCAACCCTAAACCAAACCCTCACACTTTTTAACGTCTACACCTACTTTATCCCTAAACCAAACCATCACAGTTATAGGTGTCTACAACTACCCCAACCCTCACAGTTATTGTACTGTTGTGCCACCGTACTGTTTTTTTTGTCAACAACAGGGAGCGAAACGAAGTAGGCCAACTGCCATGACAAAACAGGTGAAGAAGTACATCAAATAAATGATTATAATAATATATAAAATGATTAGGTTGTGGATACATTCGTAGGAAATGCATGAAAACATTTTGCTGAAAATGTTCTCCGGAAAGTATTATTTCTGCCATGTTGACATCTCATTATGATGTCTTGCATGGTTCAATGGGATCTTATGAGGTGCCGTATAGGATTTAAATCAAACTTTGCTTATCAACACATTCATAAAACGTGTATATACACCTATAAATTACTTGCATATACACCTATACTACTGGATGTTCAAAACAACATGAATGAAACTTGTGTATATACATATAAACTTGACGCATGAATACACCCAAATACAAACGCACATACATATAAACTCGATCCTCACATAAACACTCACATTAACACACGCACATACATATAAACTTGCTGCATGCAAACACACCTATACACACTCGCATATACATATAAACTTGATCTATGCATATACACCCATAAACTCTCACATAAGAATATAAACTTGATGTGTGCATAAACACCCAAATGACACTTGTGAAAACATACAAAATAAAATTCACAAACATATATACAGTTAGTTGTGTATATACATATATGCAAGTGATTTCATATGTGTGTATGCATGAATTTTCACAGTAAAAGGAAGTTATTTCACTTTAAAAGGAAGTCGTTTAATTTCAACGTAAAAGTCCTTTGAGTGTAATGAGCAAGATTATTATTTGTCATGAATCAGGTTATTGCAAACCTTAAGAAACAGAAATAATGTGATTATTAGAGAAATTACATCTGTTGAATTATGAAAATAGATTATCCTAATTCTAAAAAAATAAAAAATAAAAAGGTAATGCAAAGGAATGCTCCTGCAAAATTAAAGGTTTATTATGCAATTAAATTATTGGAAATGTTATTATGGTTTAATAAATATAAAGTTGCTTAAGTAATCATTTTGAATAAAATATGTTTGTCTAATATTAGTTTTTTTATGTTTGTTTTATTATTGGTGTCACTATTCGTCAAGGGTTATGATACACCCTTATGTCCAGTAGGGGGCAGGAATGCACTTAAGTGGGTTTTCCTGTCAACAATAAACAGGCTAATGCACCAAAATGCTGGATGCCAGCTGCTGTAAAAATATAAGTAGTAGTTATTAAACACAAAAGGAGTGTCCAGATAATATATATAGCTTTTCCATGGGGGTTAACTTGACCAACATGATGAGCAGAGACTTTTAATCAGCGTTTTTTTTTTTTTTTTTCGTATTTGCTGAATAATTAACAATCAAAATTATACCAAAATCTTGCAATTTTGACACCCACATTGTAAATAATTATAAAAATGTAAAAAACAAAACAAGAAGACTATAGGCTACATTAACATTTGCAATAGAATAGAGGAGTTTAGTTTGAGTATACATTTATATTTATAATTCTGGTTGCTTTTTGAACGTCCTTTAAGGGTTCTATCTGTCCATTTATATTTGTGTATGTAATTACCCAATTAAATGAAAAGGTTTTAAATAAAAATATTTCTTATTTTGAATAGTCTATTTATATATAGACTAATATTTTATATAACATATGTTCATAATTTAACATATTTAATCCCTCTATTAATCACATTATTTCTATTTCATAAGCTTTGCAATAACCAGATTTGTGATAAATGTTTGTGAATTTTATTTATTTATTTATTTTTTGTATGTTTGCGCGAGATGTTATAGGTGTGTTTGCATGCAGTGAGTTTGTGTATGTGCGCGTGTTGTTGAGGGTGTATATGCATAGACAGAGTTTATATGTATATGCGAGTATGTATAGGTGTGTTTGCATGCTGCGAGTTTATATGTATGTGCATGTAAATGTGGGTATTTATGCGAGAATCCAGTTTATATGTATATGCAAGAGTGTATAGGTGTGTTTGCATGCAGCAAGTTTATATGTATGTGCGTGTGTTAATGTGAGTGTTTATGTGAGGATCGAGTTTATATGTATGTGCGTGTGTATGTGGGTGTATTCATGCGTCAAGTTTATATGTATATACACAAGTTTCATCTGTGTTGTTTTGAACATCCAGTAGTATAGGTGTATATGCGAGTAATTTATAGGTGTATATACACGTTTTATGAATGTGTTGATAAGCAAAGTTTGATTTAAATCCTATACGGCACCTCATAAGATCTCAATAACTTAAGTAATAAAATAAGTTACCCCTCTACTACAAGTTGCTCTCCCTTCATGTTACGCCTTTCTCTTGCAGTCGGCAGACAGCTACTATTGCTTTTTGCAGCTTCCAAATGCACATAAGTCCATTGTAAAACTAACCCACACACCACCAGGGGGTTAATGTGTGTCTTATGATGCAGACCAATGTAGCAAATAGGCTGCCGAATGTGCATTTTCTTCTTGACCCTTTGATTCGCCAGCTACCGTACTTCAGTGATATGAGTATATCATTAAAAAAATAGAAATATTTTGTGATGAAAATCAAATATTGATGAGCTTCATAAGACTAGCGTTTACCCACTGCTGGCGTACAGGCGTGAATTTACATTTCCTTCAGCCTGACCTTTATTCACTTCACATTTTATGTTTACTGTAAAGAGGACCTTAAATTTGTCAAAAATAGAAGTCAATAAATCAAGTTAAAGAAAAGACAGAAAATTGTGCATTTTAATAAATGGGCAACATAAAAAAGCCTGGTAGAAATAGAATAAAATAAACATAAAGTCTAATTATTCTGCGTATAATTTAAATGTAATACATGCACAAATGAATTGGCTAATAAACTAGTCAATAACTGATTAATAACAGACCATAAGACACGTAAACATCTTATCATTTATAAGGAAGACGTCTTTATAGACAGAAAACATTCTCTATTAGGAGCAGTATGTAGTGGAAAATGATAAGCAGAGTTCATTTGGATTAATGACTTTTTTATAGCATGTCTTAAAAAAAAACTGGTTAATAATAGAACAAGAGTAAAGTTGTGCTGGTTTTGACAAAGGCGAGGCTCGTCATAAGTTTGAGGAACCAACATCTTCTCATTTATAGGGGTGTGAAAACTGAAGGAAGCTCCTTACAGACAGAAAACATCCTCTATTGGACTCGTTGTCTAGTATAAAGAAAGAACTGCAGAGTTTGTTTGAGATTAATCACAAATTTCTGTTTTGGATTTTTAGATTTGTCGAGTGTTTTAATCTTACACTATTGAAAAATGTATCACATGTTTATTTTCTTCTGTTGGTTGTATCTGGCTGGTAAGTTAAAGTTTTTATGGCTTTAGGTTTAGTTAATCTATATCTAGTATTTATTCTTGTTTTGGTGTGTTTTATACAGATGGAGTGAAAAGAGTTTCAGTAATGGAGGGAGATTCTGTCACTCTGCATAGTAATCGTACTTTAACTGGTAGAAGAAAACATTTTTGGAAACCTATAGAGTGGGTTGGACCTCAAGGTACTCGTATAGCTAGACTATTTCTACATGGTTAGAAAAATAGATTTTATGTTGATGAGATATTCAGAGACAGACTAGAGATTGACAGTCAGACTGGATCTCTGACCATCAGCAACACCAGAAGCACAGACTCAGGACTTTACAGACTTCATGGTAAATACTTAAGTGAATCATTCAATGTTACTGTCTATGGTGAGTAGCTGATTTAATGTGGCCAAATCATGTTTAACAATAAATTCTTTAAAGTCTCTTATATTTTGATATGTTTACAGAATATGAATTAAAATGGCTTTAAATTTTCCAGCTCGTCTGATCAATCCCACTATCACAAGATACTCTTCATCATCTTCATCATTTAGTTGTTCGGTGTTGTGTTCAGTGTTGAATGTGAGTGCTGTGAGTCTCTCCTGGTACAAAGGAAACAGTTTACTGTCCAGCATCAGTGTGTCTGATCTCATCAGCAGTGTTTCTCTACATCTGGAGGTTGATCATCAGGATGAAATCACCTATAGTTGTGTGCTGAGCAGTTACTTCACTAACCAGACTGAATATCTAGACCACTCAGCTATGTCAAGGTATTAGTTTTAAAATATTTAAAACAGATGCTTCAGTTGAGATGTTATTGGTGAGCTAATGGTAATTTGCAGATTCTCAGTTAAACCTACCTTTTCTGTCTTCAGACTCGATTCTGTGTTGTGGTTTCACTGAAGCTGTGATTCAATTGGTCCTCTCTGCTGTGGTGGGTGTGGCTGCTGTAGCTATAGTGGTTTATGACATCATATCTAGAAGAGCTGAAGAACAAAAGAGACGAACGTCACAATCAGTCACTGAATGAACCATGATATCATGGCACTTTTGAGTCACTTTTTTGTCAAAAGTCATGGAACTAAATCGGTAATAAGAAGTGTGCACAGCCAACTATGTGTCATATTAGTCAACGTTTGAAGTGAATCAAAATGTTTTTAAAAATTGTCAAGAGTGGGTGCTGTTAAATAATTTTAGGACAACTTTATTGAAAAGTGATGATATTGAATATATGTGTACACACATTGCATATACACAACTATATTTTGCTTTATAATTATAATTTGCTTGTTGTTCAGTCAGAGCTGAATGGAGTCAGTTTGAAGTGATCATCAGGAACTGAATGTTGTTTGTTTGTGTCACCGACTTGGTCCCAGTCATTCCCCTCGCTGGCCAGCAGAGGCCACCATCTCCGGACTTTTAGCATTACATCATCCATTTAAACTGATTGCGCACACACCTGTTATCAATCCCGCTAACGACCCACGCTACCTGTTACAAGCCACGCTCAAACACCAGTTCAGTGTAAGTCTTGTTCTGCCACGGCTAACATCTCTGAGCGTTATTCCCTTGCCTGATCTCCTGTGTATTACCCCAGACTGTCTCTGACTCTGAGTTGCCTTCTGCCTCTTCCGAACCTTGCTTGTATCTGGACTCTGAACCACGCCGCCTGCCTTCGACCCACGCCTGATATCTGGACTCTGAACCACGCCGCCTGCCACTGATCCATGCCTGTTATATCACCCTGTGACTGTCAGCCACCAGCCCTTCGACCATTGTTGCATACTGTTGATGTGAGTTCGCACTTTAGTGCGTATTGTATGATTGTGATTGAACTGTGTCAATTAAATACTGCAAATGGATCCCTCCGTGTCAGGCTCCTTGTGACAGTTTGAATCTCGTTACATTTTAATAGATTCACGGAAATGCGTACAAATTAACTTTATGTGAAAAGAAAATCCTGTACTGGTGTGATAAATCAAAATAAAGAAATTTACGACAGTCTGTGTGGAGAACACTTTGTAACAGCTCTACAGAATGCGAGAAGTGGAACAGATTAAGTTTTAGTCTATGTGAAATTCATCAGCAATCAGTTTAACAAAAAAAAGTCTAGATCCCTCCTCAGTTATATGTGAATTGAGTAAACAAATTTGGGCATAGTGTGTGTGTATGTATATGTACGTGTTTTTGTGACATATCAGGACACAAATCTGTATAATGACATGGGTATGACACAGGTATTACAAAAAGGAGGTGAAATACAAGGACATTGGTGACATCCTCATTTCTCAAAAACCTTATAAATCACACAGGATGAGTTTAATCACAGAGTAAAGCTGCACACAGTCTCCTAACTCAGAACACTTTTTAACAGCTCTAGAGACATCCAAAGTGGCACAGATTACGTGAAGTTTGTTTATAAACTAATTTCACGAGGATCACATGCTTATGATTGACCACAGCTGGTCCTGCATTAGCTATCGCATGATTTTTCCAATCAGACGAATCCAAAGATACATAAATAGCCAGATTTTCTTACCTTAGTCATCTTCGTCTTGAAGCATCCCCCTCATCCACCCTTACTCCTCCCCCTTTTTCCTAGATTAATCAAGGATAGGGCCGCACGGCAGCTCAGTGGTTAGCACTGTTTCTTCAATGCAAGGAAGTTGCTAGTTTGAGTCCCGGCTGGATTAGTTGGCGTTTCTGTGTGGAGTTTGCATGTTCTCCCCGTGTTGACGTGGGTTATCTCCAGGTGCTTCAGTTTCCCTCTCAGTGCAAAGACATGAGATTTACTGTAGGTGAATTGAATAAAGTCTAAATCAAAGTCAAAGTCAGCTTTATTGTCAATCCAACCACATATACAGGACACACAGAGAGTTAAAATTGCGTTACTTTCAGACCCTAGGTTCATAACAGATACAAAAAATACAATTACACATATAAAATTATCTAAAAATATATATTTTTTTGTAAACAATACAATTACACAAACCAAATTGTCACAGTATATGAGAATTTTATTACTGGGCATTCATCACACAAACATATGCTGGTACAGTTGGTGGTCCATTCCGCCATGGCAACCCCTGTAATCAAGGAATAGGCAAATCAATGTATTCAGGGGAGCTCTTGAGACTTCAGTTGTATAGGCTTGTAAATAAAGTTGAAAAAGACAGAGAAAACAGTGCGTTATAGTAAGTGGAGCACATAAACAGAATGTATATGAAAAAATTGCATAAGACTAATACTTTTTTCTTTCGGATGAGATATTAATGGTGACTTTGTTATTATAGAAGCAGATTCTCAGTTAAACCTACCTTTTCTGTCTTCAGGCTCTATTCACTGTTGTAGTTTCACTGAAGCTGTTATTTGATAGGTTGCCGCTGCTGTGGTGGGTGTGGCTGCTGTTGCCATAGTTGTTTATGACATCATATTCAGAAGCGCTGAGGAGAAAAAAAGGAGAACCTCACAACCAGTCACTAAATGACAAACCATGAAATCATGGCTCATTTGTCACTTTTTTTGTCAAAAGTCTTGGAACTTAATTGGTAATAAGAAGTGTGCACAGCCAACTATGTGTCATATTAGTCAACGTTAAAAGTGAATCAAAAATATTTTTAAAAATGGTCAATAATGGGTGCGGGTAAATATTGTAAGGAAAATTTTAACTCAAGGTAATAATTTATATTGTATATATGTGTACACACAGAGTATATACACAACTATGTTTTGCTTTATAATTATAATTTGCTTGTTGTTCAGTCAGAGCTGAATGGAGTCAGTTTGAATTAATCATTAGAAACTGAATGTTGTTTGTTTGAATCTCGTTACATTTTTCTAAAGTTCTGTTATTATTTTCAGAAATCCAGCGTCTGCATATCGCTAACAAACTACAAATCCACCATTATATAGACTACATATTCCTGTCATGCACCGCTTACACGCACCGGTTTCTCATTGCTTTGATTACACACAAATGCACAGCTGATGCTGTTCAGAACTGATTACATGGACTTTAAAAGCAGCACAGACACATACACACTAGTGGCTATGTCTTCTGTAATGTAAAGTGGATCCTGACAACTGAGTGGCAATCCAGATGTAGGTTTATTACACAGAGAAGTCAGGCAAGCAACGATCAACACAGGGGCAAACAGACGTTCACAGAAAATCCAGAGTCATAGTCATATCAGGTGAGTGGTTAGAAGGCAGGTACCAAACATGCATAAAAAATAAAATAAGGCAAGAATCTAACAAGGCAAGGCAATGCAAAGCAAGGCAAGGCAAGGCAAGGGAACGCATGGTAATGTTCCCATAACAGCTTACAAGACTCAACACTGATGTTTTTCGCTGTATAAATAGTCCATGTAATCAGTCATTGACAATCTGCAAGAACAGATCGCTGGTGATTCTGATAAGTTCACAGTTAGCTGTTAGCTGTTGAGTGGTTATACAGTGTGTTTGGCATGCCATCTCGGGAGAGAGCCCTGAGCTCTTAAGATCTTCGTGCCTCCCTCTCGTTTGCAAGGCAAGAAGGGAGTTGGAGCTCAGGAAGGTCTTGAGAACTCCCCTGCTGTTAATGGCTAATGGCCAATAAGAGATTGGTATGAAGAAATAACTACTGACTAGGAGAGCATCTATGGTTCTAATTTGGAATAGTCAATTAATTTAGGTCGCATGTTTTTGGAGGAAACCGGGAGACCTAGGGGAAACTACGGTGGCCGGGAAGTGCAAAACAATATTACAAAGTTTGAAACACTTTTAAAAAGCTCGAGACAAATTTACATTTTGAAAAACATTTTTACTTATCATCAGACACAATTACTTAGGAAAAACAATTTTACAAAGGACGAAACAAATTTACATTTTAGAAAACAAATTAACAAGACGCAAACCATTTTTTCAAATCCCGAAACAAATTTACAATTACAGATTCCCTACGCAAAGGGAATGTACCACACCCCGGAAGTGACGTAGAATGTAACACACCGATATTGACCCGGAATGTAACACACACACTGAAAAATATCAATAATATCCAGCTCGTGTGTGACTTTGTAGACAGGTTTCCACAAGTCTACAACTATAAAAATCATGGTTTGACTAACTGCGATAAAATAAATTAGAGCTATTCTGAGAAAATATCAGCGTGAGAATGCATAAAAACATGGAAATGCAAGTACATGGAAACATTTAAAGCACGGCATATGTTAACTGATAAAGATACTAAAACAAGTCTCAACCTGTATACCGGAGTAGCTCAGTTGGATAAGTCGGGTGATACTCATGTAGAACCTTTTGACTTGGGTCGAATCCCGTTGATGACATGTCAATTATAATTATTTCTTTTGATAATTTTGGTTTATGCTGTTCTGCCACACAAATATTAAATCAACAATAATACACTGACACCAAGTAATAAGAATCTTTATTCGGTATGGGCATGTTTTGTTGCTGTGAAAAAGTGACGAATCTGCCAATCTGCAAACGTGGATAGTTTGCACATCTGAAAAGGGGCCTCAGTTAACACGGACACCAGTTAAACCATAACACAGGCTTCCTTCAGTTTACTGTTAAGAGTCCTCAAGCAGAGGTTTACACCGTGTAGACTTGACATCATGTTCATGATTACAGCGTACGAGGGGATCTCGTAAAAATATTGAACACATTGATGCAGCATGTCTGGCATTTCCGTCTGGTACGCGTCCTTTATAAACTCTAAACACCGACCACACGCAAAGCAAAACCATGTTAAGCTGCACATGTGTTTGCCACAAAACGGGCAAAACAACCCTCGACCGCAGTCCATGTTCGGTCACCATAAACTTTGTTTACGCCATGTACTCCACAGCGCGAACTTACCGCGCTCACCAGCAACAACAACAACTTTGCCCTGCGTCACTACCGGTGTGTGGTACATTCTATGTCACTTCCGGGGTGTGGTACATTCCCTTTCCGTAGGAAATCTGTAATTGTAAATTTGTTTCGGGATTTGTAAAAGTGTTTTGTGTCTTGTTAATTTGTTTTCTAAAATGTAAATTTGTTTCGTCCTTTGTAAAATTGTTTTTCCTATGTAATTGTGTCTGATGATAGGTAAACATGTTTTTCAAAATGTAAATTTGTCTTGAGCTTTGTTAAAGTCTTTTAAACTTTGCAATGTTGTTTTGCACTTTCCGGCCACCGTAGGAAAGCCACGTGAGCACGAAGAGAACATGTAAACTCTACACAGAAACATCAACTGGCCTGGTAAGGACTAGAACCAGTGATGTTCTTGCAGTAAGGCAAGAGTGCTAACAACTGGGCCACCGGGTCACCCAATCTAGCAAAGCAGGAGGAGTAGGTGGTGAAAGGGGGGTACTTCAAAACAAAGATGACTATGGTATGGAACTTTGGTTATTTATAGTGACTTAGGAATCGTCTGAATTGTGAATCATGAATTGGCTAACGCGGGACCAGCTGTGGTCAATCATAAGCATGTGATCCTCTCAAAATTAGTTTGATTCACAAATTGATTCACAGAGATGCACTGAAATGCTTACACATTACCTTTATGTGAAAAGAAAATCCTTTACTGATGTGATAAATCAAAATAAAGGAATATTACTCAGTCCGTGTGGTGGACACTTTGTAACAGCTCTGTGTGAAATGGATCAGAAAACATTAAAAAAAAATCAAAACAGTTCAAGTCTAGCTTCCTTTTAGTTATTATTATTCCTCCTTAGTTGTATAGACCTATATATAAAGTTGAAAAAGATAGAGAAAACGGTGTGTTAGAACAAGTGGAGAACATAAGAAAACTGATAAAAATAGAGTCTGTGGCTGCACAGAATTTCAGAAGAAATATATGTTGTAAATGAAGTCACTTCCTCAACTGCAAGAGCTCAGTATGAGCAGGGGTGTAGTTTAAGTATGCAGGACTGTTTTACGCTTAATACGAATTTCAGTTTTGACCTAAAACACATTATAGCCAAACAACTGCAGGCAAAAATTAATGACTGATTATATAGCAAAATATATATAATCTTAATACATCTATAATCGTTTAAATAAACCTGATTTATAGTAAAAAAAAAATGCTGGTTTGAACTGTAACATGTGACTAATTTGAGGAACTAAAGACATGAAGACATTTATAAGCTCATTCTCTTCAACAGTATTTGATTAAGGACGCATCTGATTTGTGAAGTGTGTTAGTCTGAAGAAATGTTTTACATATTCATAATCTTCTGTCTGTGTCGTCTGGTTGGTGAGTCGAGGTTTTATGACTTCAGTGTTAGAGGATGAACGTGAACTTTTATTTAATATGGTTGCATGTCTGTGTGTGTGTGTGTGTGTGTGTGTGTGTGTGTGTGTGTGTGTGTGTGTGTTCAAATACAGATGGAGTAAATGTAGTGTCGGTGATGGAGGGAGATTCTGTCACTCTACACAATATTTCCACTTTACCAATATTTAATTTGTGTAATATAAACTGGGAGTTTAAATCCCAACAAGGTGGTGTTATAAATTATAAGAATAATGTATATGGTAACAGACTACAGATGAACAATAACACCGGATCTCTGACCATCAGGAACATCAGACTCACAGACTCTGGACTTTATCAAATGTCTTGTTTATTCTTTAGTGAATCATACAATGTTACTGTCTATGGTGAGTGGCTGAAAATAAGATGTTTATTCCTCAACAAATTTAAATAATAAATCCAATACTGACTATAGTGCTTAAATGAGTTTATTTTACATAACTGTCTTGTGCTTTCCAGCTCGTCTGCCCAATCCCACTATCTTTAGAGACCCTTGTAACTCTTCATCATCTAGTTGTTCAGTGTTGTGTTCAGTGTTGAATGTGAGTGCTGTGAGTCTCTCCTGGTACAAAGGAAACAGTTTATTGTCCAGCATCAGTGTGTCAGACCTCCTCAGCAGCGTCTCTCTACATCTGGAGGTTGAACATCAGGATAAAAACACCTATAGTTGTGTGCTGAGCAATTCCTACACTAACCAGACTGAACATCTAGACATCACTCAGCTATGTCAAGGTATTGGTGGTGATATAAAAAATTAAACATAGGCTCATTCTGAAAATGCCCCCTTATAAACGTTTCTGAAGATCACAAATTATGTAGCCAGAAGTATGTATGGCTGCATTTCATTTTTAAAACGAACGCTACAGGGCGGTATGACGCCTTCAGTTTTTGTGTTTACCAAACAACCCCTTACCTCTGTGCGGACAGTTTTCCCACTGTTACCAGTTTATCAAGTAGTTCGCCATGTAGTTGACCATGGCGATGGGGTTCGAAGCCGGAAAAGAACGATTCCAAAAAGCAGGTAAGACAAAAACAAAAGCCAAAAAAATAAAATAAACAAGTAAATAAAAGGGTGAGAATGTGGTAAAAGCTGAAAACGGCGAATATCAGATGAGGGCCTTTCTTTTTCTAGATAGCTTTTTCAAACTGGCGGTTGGATTTAGGCAAGTGGGTGGGCAGGTCAATTTGTGCTTTTTTAAAAAACACTATTGGTTGGGTTTAGGCAAGTGGGTGGGCGGGTCAATTTGTGCTTTTTAGAAAACACTATTGGTTGGGTTTAGGCAAGTGGGTGGGCGGGTCAATTTGTGCTTTTTAGAAAACACTATTGGTTGGGTTTAGGGAAGTGGGTGCTCCGGTCAATCTGTGCTTTTTAGAAAACGCTATTGGTTGGGTTTAGGGAAGTGGGTGGGCGGGTCAATCGGTGCTTTTGAAAACACTATTGATTGGGTTTAGGGAAGGAGGAGGGTGGGTCAGTCAATCGGAAGTCAGTCGACAGTGGCTTGTGGTGGATTTATGTGGGAACAGCATGCGCAAATGGCTCTCGAGAAAGAAATTTAAGATCTGAAAAAGCATACACAGCGGCCTCAGGTGGATTCGCTAAAACAAAAACTGTGACGTATTTGACAATCTCCAGACATGTACTGATATAGGGGTAAGTTTTTAGAATGAGCCTGGGTTGAAAAAATGCACACGACAAAAACCTTTTTTTTTTTAGATAAGATATTAATATTGACTTTGTTATATTATTGAAGCAGATTCTCAGTTGAACCTACATTTTCTGTCTTCAGGCTCAATTCACTGTTGTAGTTTCACTGAAGCTGTGATTCGATTGGTTGTCGCTGCTGTGGTGGGTGTGGCTGCTGTTGCAATAGTGGTTTATGAAATCATATCCAGAAGAGCTGAAGAGAAAAAAAGGAGAACCTCACAATCAGTCACTGAATGATGAACCATCATGAAATTATTGCAGTTCTTGTCAAAAGTCACGGAAATCCATTAATCAAACAGAGTCCCAAACATGGTGATATTTTATTTTTGTATAAAGTACATTGCTTTGCTTATTTTGCCTTTTCAGAGACATTTTAAATCTAAAGCAGAAATATTAATTATTAACACTTTGTCTTTGTGTAATCTTGTCAATCAGTTTGGGCTGAATAACTGAAGGTTGTTTGTTTGAATCCCAGTAGATTAGCGAAGTGTTTATTGGAAATCTTTTTAAGTTTCCAAATGTTAACAGATGAACTACATGTGAAGAATCTGTATCAGTGTGATAATGTTTAGAGTGTTGTTATTTATTTTGATTTCTCTAGTTTTTGGGCGCCGGCGTGCACCTGTTAGTCATTCTGATGTTCAGCAGGTCACTGAATCATTTACACCTGTACCCTCTTGGTTTAACTCTATTTATGTTGCCCTATGTTTGATTTCTAGTAGCTTGATTATCTTGCTTGATGTTGAAAGTCTTAAGCCACGGTCACATAGCTCTTTTCGCCCCATAGAATTCTATTCATATGCATACGAATACGACAGACAAGCATGTGCGACAATTTTTGCAGGTCTCTACATTAGAAATTTCAAGCTTGGTGAACTCTGACCTGCAAAATTGCATCACGTGATTGCGTGAGACCAATAGAAGATCAAAACATGACATCTCTGTGTATACAGAATTATTAAATATGGACCAATCACTCACTTTTTTAACACACCTAATTTTTCAAAGCACCGTACAACAGAATTTTGCATGCTCAAACTGTAGTGTGATCGCAGCATTATGCTTTCGTTGCCTACCTTCTGCGCTCTGCCCAGTCCTCGTCATCTTCGTCCTCATCCTCATCAAGCTCTTCTGTGGTAAAGCCCATCATTCTCAGTCCTGATCAAGTCCAGCTCTTGCTCTCCTGTCGGCAGGTTGGGGTGCTGGTCGCTCCATGAGGGGTCTGTGCACGCCAAGGCTCACCTGATCTGCTTTCACCGCCCATCCTCACGTGGCTTGAGGGACGCTCTGAGTTTTCTTCCCTTGTCCAGTCTGTGACGCTGCTGAAGGCCTTCAGCAGGCTCTTTAAGTTATTCCTTTTTAAATCTTTGCTTAATAAATCTCAGAGACTAAACTTTGCTTTTGGCTACTATTTGTGCTAACATCAAGGGATAATCAAGTCTAAATAGACCTAGCAAAGGAGAACCCCATTCCCTCTGCAGTTGAGATGCAGGGAGATCTGCTAAATGTATGAATTTACATTTTCATAGTAATGTAATTAAATTATAATTAGTTAAATAGACTTAAGCATTCATTTAGTTATTCAAGCGTAAAACAAGATGAAACACTGTTTAAACGCAAGCACTGTCAGGACTGAGCAGCAGGCTAGAACAGAAACTCCATTGAAAATACTGAGGTAAAATAAACAAAGTAAAGACTAATTATTCTGCTTATAATTTAAATGTAATACATGCACAAATGAATTGGCTAATGAAATAACTGATTAATAATAAACAATAAGACACATGACTAGTTTGAGGAACAGACTTCTTACCATTTATATGGGAGACAGAAAACGTCCTCCATTAGGAGCAGTATGTAATAGAAAAACTGTATATAAAATGACTAGCAGAGTTTATTTGAGATTAATGACAATTTTTTTATTTATTCATTCATTTTTTTTCAGCTTAGTCATTAATTAATCCAGGGTGGCCACAGCGGACTGAACTGCCAACTTTTCCAGCATATGTTTTACGGAGCAGATGCCCTTCTAGCTGCTACCCATTACTGGGTAACATCCTATACACACTCATTCACACACATACAGTAATGACAATTTTAGCTTACCCAAGTCACCTATAGCGCATGTCTTTGGACTGCAGGGAAAACCGGAGCACCCGGAGGAAACCCACACAAACACGGGGAGAACATGCAAACTCCACACAGAAACGCAAACTGACCCTGTCGAGGCTCGAACCAGCGACCTTCTTGCTGTAAGGCGACAGCGCTACCCATTACCCATTTTTTATTGCATGTCTTTAAAAACCCTGGTTAATAGAGAAAAAACATTGCTGGTTTTTGTTTGTAAGACGCGGTTCGTCTTAAGTTTGAGGAAGTACCACCTTACCATTTATAGGAACGTGTAGACTGAATGAAGCTCTTTACAGACAGAAAACATCCTCCATTTGGGCTTGTTGTCTTAAAGAGAGTAAACAATCAGCAGAGTTTATTTGGGATTACTGACACAATCCTGATTTTTAGATTTGTAGAGTGTTTAACACTACTGCAAAATGTATCACATGTTTATCTTCTTCTGTTTGCTTCATCTGGCTGGTAAGGTAAACATGTTTTCATGGCTTCAGGTTTAGTTGATCTATATCTAGTATTTATTCTTGTTTTGGTGTGTTTTATACAGACGGAGTGAAAAGAGTTTCAGTGATGGAGGGAGATTCTGTCACTCTGCATATTAATCATACTTTTAATGATAGAAGAGATTATCTACGTTTTTTAGAATGGGTTGGACCTCAGGATACTCCTATACTTACATTGTTTTTGGTTGGTGAGGAGGCAGATATTATCTATTTTGATGATGAGATATTCAGAGACAGACTACAGATCGACAATCAGACTGGATCTCTGACCATCAGCAACATCAGAACCAAACACTCTGGACTTTACAAGTTTCAGTTTAGATTCTTTAGTGAATCATTCAATGTTACTGTCTATGGTGAGTAGCTGATTTAATGTGGCCTGACAAGTCATGATTAAACAATAAATTATTTTAAATTATTTTAAAATGTTCACAGAATATGAATTAAAATGACTTTAAATTGTATCCCAATATGTAATGATTTATTTTGTTTTCCAGTTCAGCTCAAAACGGCTTACATGTTATCAAAATATTCATAGTGATTTATTTCATTTTATTCTTTGATGTTCTTCAGCTTGTCTGCCCCATCCCACTATCACAAGATACTCTTCATCTTCATCATCTAGTTGTTCGGTGTTGTGTTCAGTGTTGAATGTGAGTGCTGTGAGTCTCTCCTGGTACAAAGGAAACAGTTTATTGTCCAGCATCAGTGTGTCTGATCTCAGCTTCAGTCTTTCTCTACATCTGGAGGTTGAACATCAGGATAAAAACACCTATAGTTGTGTGCTGAACAATTCCTTCACTAACCGGACTGAACATCTGGACATCACTCAACTATGTCAAGGTATTGGTGGTAATAATAATAATAAAAAAACTGCAACAAAATACTTTTTTCTATCAGATAAGATATGGTTACTTTTTTATGTTGTAGAAGCAGATTCTCTGTTAAACCTACCTTTACTGTCTTCAGACTTGATTCCCTGTTGTGGTTTCACTGAAGTTGTGATTCGATTGGTTGTCTCTGCTGTGGTGGGCGTGGCTACTGTTACCATGGTGGTTTATGACATCATATCCATAAGAGCTGAAGAGAAGAACAGGAGAACATCACGATCAGTCATTGAATGATGAACCATCATGAAATCCACTAATCAAACAGGGGCTACATGGTGATAAAGGAGTTATAATCAACCTTTTCAAGATTTTGTTTTAGCATAAACTATATTGCTTTGCATATTTTGCTTATTCAGAGACATTTTAAATTTAAAGCACACATATTAATGAATTATTAACTCTTTGTCTTTGTGTAATCTTGTTTTCAGTAGCCTGGGCTGACTAGAGCCTATCGAGACTGAACTGAATGTTGTTAGCTTGACTCCCAGAAGATACAGTGAAGTGTTTATTGGAGATCATTTGATGCTCTCAAATGTTAACAGATGAACTACATGTGAAGGATCTGTGTCAATGTGATAAATACAAAAATAAAACATGTTGAATCAGTTTACATTTATTTCAGTGCAGAGGAAAAAAAGAAAATGATAACCTTCATTGCAACACATAAATCACAAACCAGTCATACCAACAAAAATCAAAGTTGTTTAGAGCAAACCGAGAGAGTAAGATACCCGAGAACTACTCTGATGAAAAATAGCAACACATGTAATAATATTGTAATGACCTGGCCCACAGCACAGCCAGGTGCATCATGGGTTATTTAATGTGTTATTTTAGTTAAATACATGGGTTGTTTTGTTATAAACTTTATGTGTGCTTATGTTTAATTTGGCTTCTGTGTTTTAAAGATTCAGGACACCCCGGAGAACTTTTTTTTTTTTGTATTAACAGATGTGTGTGTGTTGAGCATCAGTTAAGACAATGTTAGCACCTGTCAGCTTTAATTGTGGGGAAAACTGGATAATTTTGAGCTTTTGTCAGCTAATTTCAGCTTCCGGGTTTAAAATGATTTTTGGGGCGGTATCAAAATCGGCGACGTAGCGCAGAACTGCAAGTGCAATGATGACGCGTCGGTTTCTCATTATTATTCATAGCGGAGTTTTCTTATCCTATGAGAAGAGCCGGCTGCTTAATTATTCATGAGACCTGCCAGACCTGCCAGTGTCAAGCCCGAGCTGAGAGACACGGAAACCACGGCACAGTATTTAGCCGTTCATGAAGGCTCATATGCGTTTGTTTCCATCATCCACAGGGTTTGTTGCATTTTTTCCCCCGCGATCTTGTCAGGGCCGATCATACAGCAAAGCTGTGTGCGTGCTGCTAGCATTTTTGTCGGGAGAGCAGCACGAGAATTAGAGAATGGCGGACGCTGTCTTTCATCAGGAGTTCGTTTACATTCAGACACATCACTGTGCTGCTGTGTTTGCCTAAATCCTCCAGATTACCAGCAGGGTTAATGGTTAAAATAGACGGGTCAGGAGACCTGCTGCACTGAGTCTGCTGGATACGGGGATTGAGGGAGAAGTCCTCATTTATAGTGTTTACATGAACACACATCTTTATAATGATATAAATTGTTGTTGTCTGTATATGAAATTACAAATAACAAATGTAGCAGGGCATTAAATCACTGTTCATTTCTTTGCATTTTAACTTTGTAAACTATAAACTCATGCGTCTCCTCTTTGTGTCTCATTTTGTGAGCTATAACTGACAACAGCAGTTATTCGCTCCCCTTCTCCCCTGCTGGCCACGCCCACTCCCACCCGATGCTTGCGGAGCTCCACGCCCATTAATCATGCATCTTTTGAAAAAAATTTTGAAGTAGACTTTAACCGAAAGAGGGGGGTGTCATGGCCCTTTAAGCCCAATATTTCTTTGGTTTATAAAATATTGGTCATTACCATCAACAATGGTGGTGTGTAAAGGAAGTACCCCAGTGGTGTGGTCCTGTTAAGGGCTGTTCATGTTTGGAGCTCAGAATTAAAAGGTTAACTGTCAGTACTATCTCTCCTACCTGATTATTTTGCCAGATTACTGCTCACAGAGAAACTCTGGGTTGTGTGGTGGATGGGGCATGAATGTTCTTCTCGCTAACACGTTAGGAAAGTTATCCGCCATACTTGCTAGTGTAACCCCCTCCGGTTTTACATTACCCAACCCGCTCCAAGCTGGGATCGAACTGGCGACCTTCCGCTTGGGAGTCGGTTGCCCTATCAAGGAGGCTAAAGACCATGGCCTCTAGCGCCTGTCGCTAGAGCACCTTTCGAGGTCAGAGAGGTGAGGTTTACCTGCACAGCACTTACTAGCTGGTCTCTGTTACACTAGCACCCTGCTAGTCGTTTTAGTATAATTGAATAGTTTAGCTAGGTTATATTAGCTCCAGTTGCCCACGTACAGTAATTATTACAATATGCAGATGCACAAATAAATGAAAACAATTTACTCGGGGCCTGTTTAATAAAAATGGAATAGAAAAGCAGAATTAAAGTCTACAACCTGACTAGAATGAGCCAAACTAAACGTCTGCACTTTGATTGGTTCCATAACAGCAAGATGAAGCTCATTTGATCTAACTAAGTTTAAATAATCTACATAACTGTCATGAAGCTCTGAAGGTCGAGCATAGATGCATGGATTTTGTTGTACGCTATCATGGCAACTACAGTGAAAGTGTTCATAATACCTGTATATACTTGACCGGCATGTTGCCATCTTTCAGTCTGTTTACTCCGTTTTCTCCTCAGGGTTTTTAGCCAATAACCTGATGCAAAAAAGTTCAGGAGTCCTGGAAAGGATTAAGAGAATTTGACATCAAGTTAAGTTCACCAAATGTTCAATCCTATTTTCAAAGCACAGTTTATTTATTCACTTCAGTCGAGCTGTGAAAGCTTCTTCAACCAATGTCTGTAAGCCAAGAAAAGGCTTTTCCTAAAAAAAGGCATTGATAGCTTTATCATTAAATATGTCGTTTTATAGCATATGCAGAACAGTGTGGTACAAAGAAGGAACATAGTATGGCTGTATCAAAATAGAACACAGCGATAACACATTTACACAGGAACAGGAAACTCAACTATAAGAAACAGAGGCCTACTTCCTGTCTGGCTATATCTAGCTAGAGAGCTGAAGCTCAAATAATCACTTTACAAAATACATCATGGGAAGAGATTAATAATCAAGGTTAATAAAAGACAAAGCCGTTGGTTTGGACTCTACCATGTGAATCTAAGGAAGAAAAAACTAACCAGAAAAAACAAAGAATCGGATTATCATCAACAGTTTCATGAGAATATCGGCAGAAATAGTTTGTGATTAAGGACAAATTGTGTCGCATTTGATTTGCGGAGTATTTCTTTTATTCAATAATTTCAAAGAAATGCTTCACAGATTAATTTTCTTGTTTTTCTGGCATCTAGTTGGTAAGTGTTTTTGTTCATGACATCATGACTAATTCCATATTCAGTGTAATCTTGCTGTTTTTGTATTCAATTTAATGTAATTAAAACATTGATAATGTATATATTGTTTGTGAATCCATCAAACAATTCCTCAGGCAAATTATTATTTTAAATTGTTGTTTTAAGGAGCATGTAGTCTCAGTTGCTCTCCAAGAACGAAAGAAACGTTAAGGTGCAGAAGGTGATTGTATTTAGAAACATTTTTTTGTTGAGCTGGTTAAAAGTCTCTTCCACTTGTACTGATTAAAGTAAATGATATAAATGTATTTATATTTGTTTTTATGTACTGAGTAAGGCATAAGACTAAAAAAATGTTTATCCAATTAAATATTGTTGGGCTGATAATTCCCATAATTCTAAAAGTGGTAAAAATAAATGCTGAATCAAAACTTTAAAATTCTAAATGAATATTGGAGGAAATTTTGCATGCTAGGGGACGATTGACAACATGGCTGAAGGATTTCTTTTAGACAGGCAATGTTCCGTTTTCAAATTATTTTAGTCACGCAAAGCTGATGTAGATTGTGTTGTTATGAATGGGTTATATGCCCAAAAGTGTTATTCAGCTACTGAAATCTTCCAGCGAACGACTGTTGTGACTATTTTCAATTTTATAAGCCACATAATTTAAAACATTGATAATGTATATTTTTGCTTATTTTAACAACAAAACATAAGTCCGCCTAGCCTGCTTTACTGAGCTGAAGTTGGTTTTATAATCACATTGGTTCCTTTTTGAACAATGACAACCTGTGACGCTCCCGATATTGTTTGCTACTCTGAATAATCGGTCTGAAATAGCATGTAAGTATGGATTAGTAATGGGCGTAATTCCTGCATGCCGCTGGCCAACCATTAAGCACACAGTAGTCACTTTAGGACAAAAATTTAGGCCAAATGACATGAACTAGTGGATTGTCTACTGTTATCTTTAAGCTGCGCGTTCGTGATATCAGGAGGCATATGGCTTTAAACGGTAGGGGAGGGATTGTGTTTCAAAGATATTAACTGGTAGCATTTTGGCAGATCACCTCCTGCACCTTTAAGGCATGATGAGTTTGATAATTACGTCTGTGGTTAATCTTGCTGTTTTGGTGTGCTTTATACAGATGGAGTGAAAATTATGTCAGTGATGGAGGGAGATTCTGTTACTCTGCATGCTGATGTTTCTGGCACATCCAGATATACATTTTTTTATCTTCAGCGGTGGATCGGACCAGAAAATAATCGTATAGCTGAAGTCAATTGGATTGAAAATGAGATATATAAAATTATATATTATAATGAGCGATTCAGAGACCGATTCCCGATCGACAATCAGACTGGATCTCTGACCATCAGGAACATCAGAACCACAGACTCTGGACTTTATCGAAAATATGCTCGAGGCTATAATGAATCATTTCATGTTACTGTCTATGGTGAGTAGCTGATTTAATGTGGCCTGCCACATTCATGTTTCACAATGATTTATTTGAAACCTCCTATATATTTTGGTATGAATTCATAACAGTAATTAGATTATGCTGATATGATTGATAAATTATCTGTCATAATACTTTAAAGTATTACTTCACATTATTCTCTGATGTTTTCCAGCATACCTCCCCAATCCTGTCATCTCCAGAGACTCTTTAAACTCTTCATCATCTAGTTGTTCAGTGTTGTGTTCAGTGTTGAATGTGAGTGCTGTGAGTCTCTCCTGGTACAAAG